TAGTATTGTAATATCTGTGATAATTTTTGATGCTTTAATAAAATTTAAAAAGAACATGGCAGTTTATGCTTATTTTTTGTCAATTTATCCTTTCTCCAATTTTGATATGTTAAAAACTGAACATGTTCATTTACTTGACTTACATCTTACGAGGCTTTGTAAGAGTCCCGATAGCTTAGTTTCTATTAACTACTCCAACACTTGTCTCAAAAAACATATCTATGACAAACGGAATTATAGCGACCAAAGAAGCAAACTTACGACATACGACGGAATATTGTTAGTTCAATAGATAACATTTCCGGGTTTCAATTATACAAAACATGGTAAAATTAGGGGCAGTATTCATGAAACCGTTCTCATGCTCAAACTCATATTATGTACTCGAGCCCAAATTTCTTGTTCGAGTAAGAAGTTAATAAATAATTAGGTTTTGTTCATGATTTTGATGAACTCTGGAGATACTTTAAGCCAAATACCAATTTCATCACTACCACTTGACTTTTTGGCCGTGTCGCATGATTTACGTGCGCGACAAGAACGTTAGTTTGAGTACAGAATCAATGCGTTAACGAATTCAGACCTAGAATGTTTAAAAACATACTCTTCTGGCTAGATGTATTCTAGCAAGGGTGTGTTTCAGGAACAATGGAATTTTGCTCACTGCCTGATTTTATCCACACTTCTTGATTTTTTTTTTTGCACCCTTAAAAACACTTGGGGTATATGCTTAGAACATTAAAAGGCATTAAAGGCCTGTGCTATGACCAATTTTATTGCCCCGTCATGAGAATTCTAGTAATGTTAATTTGAGGAGTGATTCAAATACTTAGAGTTACTTTTCATCCCGGTACTGCAAGTTTTAACTTCTTCATCTGTGAAGACAGACAGTGGAGTATTGTCATAGCAGCTTTATCTACCTTCTCATTTCCATTTATCCCGACATGACCATCGACAACACACATACATTGTACACGAGTAAATGTCTGGCGAATCACATCTCACATTAAAAAATAACTGTATTTATATTTTTTCACCTTTGTCTTCAATTCGGACCCATCGATGCATCTTTCAGTTTCAGTCCAAACCCCAGTGTCTGTCACGTTCTGGACATAAACCATTTGGTTTTTTGTTACGTCAATGACCATATATGGCAGCAACCAAGCCATGATACAACGGTACCTCAGCATGGAAAATGTTCGTAGTCCGCAAATGTATGTACCTATGTCGGTCAACTTTCAAGCACATTGATATTCTGTATACGTTTATCTGGAATTTTTTAAGCGAATTATCAATATTAAATAAATATCAGTCAGAGGAGGTTATGATTACACTTCTTCTCCAAAGTTTGAAAAATAGACTGTCACAGTTTTTCAACCACAATTGGAAATGTATTGATTGAAGACCTGTATGTTGTGACGCCACGTTGGTTGTTGGGTGTTTTCTTGAGCAAGACACCTAAAATATCCTTGACGTTTAATCCGCTGCTTAGTTTTATTTTCACGCCGACAGAACATGCGTGTCCTATGAAGGCTGAGCAGTAGACTGTAACGAGGTGATAACTGTAGAACACTTTATTTTAGCGGGGTCATATTAGCAAATTAGTTGGGTTTAAATCTATTGCAGAATTGCTTGACGGCATAGGTGTTTGCCAGGAACTATGGCTTCCACTCGTATTAAAATAACTTACTTCGCACGCTACCAGTAGGGCTAACAACAGAGGTAAGTATTAGTATTAGTTGGTAAATATTTCCCCGAATATCGTTTTTTTTTTTTTTTTATCAACTCTACCAGGAGAGCAACGAATTTCGCTGTTTTATATTTCGTTCACATTTTCAAGCCGTAGAAACCAGGAGCAACACAATAGAAATAGGAGTGGGGAAAAGAAAAGAGAAGCAAACAATGTATGAGGGCACATCACTATCTTTTGATTGTCCCTAAAGTAGTGAATACAATAAAACTGTCGATTCTAAGAGGAAGCTTCAAATCAGTTGTGTCCTGTTACTATGCAGTGTAACACAACGGATGAATTATTCTTTTTTCAAACGCCGCAACAACTTGTTTACCCGTTGTCGGTGTAATGTGACTAGGTGGAATGTTGCAAATACATCAGCATACCTCACCTCCAACACACATTCACTTAATAACGCACGCATTTAACACATGGATGCACGACCTTAACCGTGGATAGGGCGTTAAACAAAATGAAATTAAACCAAACTAAATTTGCAAGTTGGAACGATATTAATCGGTATATGTTACGGATTGTGTTGTTGTAATAGGGTGCCGGAGTAGGACTGCTAAGATCGGCAAACTCAATGTATTAATTGCGTATCGGTAAATATTTGCTTTTTTACTCCCGGCCTTGTCGGAGTGCGAATGAAGGCGAGTAATAAATTACAGAAAAGATTTAAAACATATTGTCGTCGCAGATTTTAAACTCGAAATATTAAATATTCCACATTTTGTCTATAAATCTAACTTAACTCGTTCAATCGATAATTAATTAGTGAGCATGGGCGTTCCTTATTATACGCTGGAGTTCGGGATGTTATTATTGGAATCATACGTTATACTGTAGTTTTATTTTTTGTTCGTAGGTCACTGACAATAAGCTAAGCACTGTTTGATGCTAGTATATTGTTTGCCTTTATAAGAGAAACATAAATTGTTACTATTTTCTACAGTTGAATGCATATATTTCGTTGACGTTTTGGATCAGGTCCGGACTAGATCAGTTCTACAGTATATCGTACCTATGGTATAGTACTCTGGCCGTACTCGTGTGCATCTTAGTCGGACTGGTGGTCAGTTTACTCACAGATAACTACAGAAAAGTAGTCAATTACTCAACAGGTAAGTATACAAATCAGTGGTCAGTTTACCTTGATGTCAGTTAATCTCAAACATAATAATAATAATAATATATTTGATATAGCGCCCTATCTAGCTAGAATAAGCCACTCTAAAGCGCATTACAATACGTAGATATACAATCAATACAATTTGCATATACATGAATCAATATCACTGAGGAATTCGCAGGAGCTGCCTTATCAGGCGCTAACTACTAGTCCTATGCCACCTGGCTAATATCTCCCTATGTGTGTTTGCCTGCGTTTGTGCGGGAGATGTGATGTGTTCTGTTTGTAGAGGGACCGTGCTTCCAACAGCATCATTTACAGTGCCACCTCACTTGAATGCTACAGCACAGATACCCCAACATCCACCCAGACCATTTCATACTCAACCTGGATTGTTGGAGTTGTTTGGGCAGGGAAACAGCACTTCTTCTGAAAATTCCATGTGTAGGACGACTTCGGGGATCGAACCCCTGCGGCCTGCATGTAAGGCCGGAGTGTTAACCACTCGACCCATCACACAAATGGTTCCAGTGTTCTTCTACAAATCAAGTTATTTTTGTGGGTACTTATTTTCCCGTTGGTGCTTCATATTACCTATTTACGTGGATTCCTATCCCCGATATGAACAAGAACAATTTTTCAAGATTGCGCAAATTTTAGTAATTAACCGAGGAGGTGTCGCTGTTATATAGCCTGTACGTGATTTAAAATGACATTTTCCCTTACCTATTTTTCAACCGTGTAACAACTTGTTACAGGAGGAACCCTTAAGAAACTAGATCGCCACTGTATGTTTATGTGTCTTCCTTCGCGTCCACAAAGACGGCACCATTAGATTATGATATTTAGGTAGGTCTTACGCTTTCATTTAGTATCTCGTCTTCATTATTCACTAAATTGCAGTACTCCTCATTTCTATTTTCTTCTCCTTTTATAGCCTCTCCCGGTTCGGTTATAATAATTGGTAAATGTTTCATGACCATGAAAGTCGACTAATGCAGGAAAAAAGCCAAAATGTATCTGTCTCATGGTAAAGGTCACCGGCAGACGAATGACGTAAGCCAAGGGACGTTCTTAAATCCGGGACTTGGCATACCGATATTTTATTGTAACATTGTTTACAGCTTACCTATTATGTTAATTTTTAACAAGTCTTTTCATAGCATCATAGTAACCACCTGGGATATAACAACGAGTGACGTTGGAGGCGCCATGGCAAGGATAGAAATAAATAGTTAAAAGATTGGGATATGAAATGATGCAATGTCGACAGTAAAAATATTACAGTCATGCGAGGAATACAACAAGGCAATAGACACTTTCACGTTAGCTAAATGTTTGTAACAATAGTTGTATATGTTATTGTGTTTGTCACAATATGAAATGACGTGGCTTGTATTGTGACAGCAATAATCTCGACTAAGAATTTGGAAACATCCCAAAGTTAAGTAAATATTTTCCCCTTCAAATGTATAAGGCTTCCACAAAGATTTGCATTCATTTCTTTTCAGCAAATTAAAGTCTGTTCTCTGAATTTATCCTAAATAACTTTTGTTGTAGAATTAGCGCATAATAAAAGTCTTACTATCCAAATTGTTACAAGACTGTATGTTGACTTGTGAAGTATGCTTTTATGAATGCAAAGTATACCAATTCAAATACTGCGCCATATTGTGTATTATAATGTTATCTTCCTGTTTTTAGCTGACCATCCATCCCTCCTCAAAAAACTCGGACGACGGAGACACTTGCATCTCTGATCGTCCCTCAAAACGTGATGCTACCACATCGGTTGACTGTCAAATTAAACATGGGAAACAACTTAAACCTTTTGAAACATTGCATTCTATATATATTTTCTACTGTACGTCGACTTCCGAGGTTCAACTGAAAAAGAACTATCACGGGGTTATGTTACACCTAAAGGAAAGTTGGCGTTGAGCCAGGAACGAAACTGAAGTGGTAACATGCAGTGTATGTGGCAGTATGCACATTATATGTAAACGCAAAAACAAAAGGAATTTCATCACAAATCTCCTAAAACCAAGGTAACGGAGGACATTCCAAAAAATAATTTATCTCCATAAAATTAAGAGAGGATATGATAAGTATACAAACCAACGATTATTATCATGTATACTTATTTATTTGTTGGTTCTTTTTACAAATAAAACATTGGTTGATGTCAGCAAACGTACATAGTAAACCAACCAAAACTTTTCAAAATAAAGTATGCCATTCTTTCTTCTTCTGAAAACTTCATGTGCTAATTTTAAATTCGTTAACACTGAGATGGCCGTAGTCATAGAAGACAAAAACCATCAGCACTCAGCGGCCGATGACATCTTTGCATACGGGAACGCGACAACAATGGTCATTTGGGTCTACTTCTAAGTGGCATCCCGGGGGTATCGATGTTTGGGTCACTTTGCAGCTAGGCCTGTGCGGAAAACAAATGTTGTAGATTGTATATATACTTTTACATACTACTACTGCCAATTATTAAAAGAAGTCGGAAGTTCATTTCATTTATGATTTATCTATCAAAACTTTCAGTAATTTGCTTTGGCTATGCCATCTGACCGTTTTTGTATTGTTTCACGGCCCATCGACAATGCGAGTCGGTTAGAGCCAGACCTTACGTTAAAATAGGCAACCACATTAATAAATACATCAAACTAGAAATAAAGAGGTTTAAAAGATGTAACAAATGTATCAAAAGGGAACGAATTGGCTGTAAATCATATCAGATCTTATTGACAAGGTCAATTGAGTATCAATAATCACATATTGATTTAACAGAAACTGTATCAAATAAACTTTTCATACACGATACTTTATAGAATCTGTCACGTTTTTCTTTGAAATTAGCGCATTCAAGCATCAACTGTTTGGCCTTAAATGACTGATCACATGACAATAAGGTTGCTCGTCTTTAATGTAAAATATAGCTGTGTGATGTAGGTATAGTCTATGTGAAGTCGCGAGAGGACGACCTCCTCTCTACCCACATGAGGTTGAACTGCGAATAATTTGTTGTTCACCATTTCAGATCATTTATTTAGCCAATTCGTTCTTATAAAGTTCGTGATTTAAGGTTTAAAATTTAAATATATATTGGCTGTCGGTAAAGGGCTGCTTCGGCAACCCTATCTACTTTTCTCATTTCTACTTTTTCCGACATGGCCAGATAACCATATGATTATCAGGTGGCAGAACATTAAAATCCTATTAATACGAAGAGCGATGTTTTGAATCAAGTGCAATACATTTTCATATCTGAAGTCATATCGAGGCGATGATTCTGAATTTAGATCGTGGCAACTAGCTTGACACTCGGTTTAATTATTAATATGGAATATTGTAATTCAATGTTTTTAAATTCAACTTATAATTATTTGTTTTTGTCGATAGATAAGTCAGTTTATGAAATTACTGAGAACATATGAAGTATTTTACCTTACTTCACAAACGTTTGGACATTTGTTGATAAATTTAAAGCCACTAATTCATTAAAATAGTTGTTTGAACAAATAGCTCTACATGTTTGGAAACGTGAATGGATATCTATGTTCTCGCACAGAACCGGTTTCCGGAATATTTTTTTAATTTTTGTTTGTTAATATTTCAAATGAGTATATGAACAATATTTAAGAAATAGACCGATGAAATTTTCTCCGAATGCTTAAAACGTTATAAACAGATTTTTATTAAGAATAGATATCATCAATTTAAATTGCAAAACAAAAATGCTGCATCATATGAATGAAAACTATTCCATTGTATGTACCGTCCTTCCCTCGCCTTAGCTTCCCTTCTGATAAACAAGTTTTAACAAATGCTGATTGGATGGACATAGTTGGTTTCGATTATATCGATATTAGATAAATAATTATTCATTGTAAATTAACGTTTTATGTGTTTTGTCAACGAGTTATACAACTCAGTTTAAAGTCCGAAATTTTTTCCTATGCCCTTCACATGTGACTCAACATGTTTCCAAATATCACATACATATCCACATCAAAACATAGAATGTTAGATCTGCAGTGATAAAATCGCAATATCCAGTCTGTTGTTTAAAGGTATTTACTGACGCACCGGTGCCATTGCCGCAATATCGGTAGGACAGTTCCATAATTTTATATTCACAGAAAAAAGATTTTCTGTTCTTATCTTAATATTTGAATGTTGCAGAGAACTTTTCCGTAACACATGATACCATGCTTTCATAATATCCCTGCCAAATTTAAGGAAATCAGATACCTTTCTATCATTGTGATATTATTTATCTTTTCGAAAGCAACGGCTGTACGTATTCACTTTTCTTAATTTAACTGTACCCGAGTAAGGAATTCAGAGATAACCAGGAAAAGAAATGTTAATTTACCGCAGTATTCGCAATTATCAGTATACGTGGATGTAGTATCGCACATCAATACTAATTTAATGTACCTACTTTTTATCACACGAGAAAAAGCCAGTGAAGGAGTTTTCGCAGACACAATTTAATTCACATCCCTCTGACCACTTTTGTCCCTCAATGTAGGTCTGACCCCTGTACTCGCAATGGCCTACAATGAAACCAAGATTTGAATAGATGAGATATGTATTAAGTGGGATATGCTTTGTAGTTTTCGTTATGAGAAAAATGATATATATAGTAGAGACACACACTCATCAGACAAGGCAGACATATACGGACACATCTACACACATAGCCAGACACAACAGATGAACAAACGTGGTACAGACGAAACGGTGAGATAGACCGATTCTTCAACTTTATTTACACATTCTAAATAATGTTTCTTAAACATTTATCCAACCTCTGGGAAAAAAACCATTCAAGGCCGTCTGTACGTGTGCATGTTTTAACTGTCTGATTTTTTTTTGTTTTTGTAAAAATTGCTTTTCCCATAGAAACAAATGAAGTTCAGTTTCTTAGAAACAATCGTCTAGGTACAGCTGGAAAATGAAACGACGATTAACTCTTGTGATTGACAGTGCATTTGTAGTGTATATTCTATCTATTGCAGTTAAAATCATTGTATTTCAAATTATAATAAATGTCATTTTCATCATATATTTGGGCACAAAATAAAAGTTTACATGAAACACTGAATTAATTTTCCTAATGACTGATAACATCATTACTATGTTTTTTACTTTCAAAACTAAATGACTTCTGCTATGGGTTTTTTAAAATCTGTTGATTTAAGTTCGTGTATGGCTTTGCTTTTAAATGGGATATTATAGAAACTCATCAAATTTAAGTCTGCAATTTTATCGTGTTTTGCATGATTATTGCAAAAACAAATAATAATAAAATAAACAAGACGCCCAGCGTGCCTGTGTCGCTAACCTGGATATTTAAGCAATCTTGGCAAAATATTTCTCATTACATATTGTTCTGCAAATATTTCCACTATTGGACCAGTCTCCCAGCAGCACCTTACATTAATGGGTCCCATCCCTCTGTCCCCATAGGGGTGGGGGCATGGTTTAAAGAACAATGCAATAGTTATCCCTATGTTCTCCCTAATGGCCACAAACCCTCTGCTCCATGGAGGCCGCTCACTCCATCCAGGGATGTTTCATGCATAATTTAGTCAAAATCCGCTGAGCCGTTCAAGAAATTTCGCGTTTAAACGAAAAATTGACGGACGGTCGGACGACGCACCACAGCATAAACTCACCGGTCCTCAAGACCAGATGAGATAAATAAATTAATTTACTGGATTATAAATCGTATCACACGAACGATTTCTTTAAAGACATACATGTTGAATGAATGGTAAAAGGTTGTCCTCGCAAATAGATACCTAGGTTTGATAAATATACAAGTAATCTACAAAACTTGGTGGGATACAACTAATGATATTTGAATAAACTTACCTTGACCGGTGTACTCTTCCCCCGCTGGCATTGTGTTTGCTAAAACGAAACAATAACATTGAAATACAAACGAATCGATGCTCAAACTGAAGACGGTAAACATAATATAACAGATCGTGGCTTAAAATTGTTCAATAATCAAAACTATACGAATTTCAATCTTAATTTTGCACTATCAACTGTTATCTTTTCATTCAGACAAGTTGAACATTTAGCTGACAAAGTCTTTAATGGCTAAAGAATCATGACACCAATTAAAGTCTACTGGAGTATAGCCTCATTATTATCACAGTTTGAATGGTTGGACGAAAATGAAAACCCTATCGGTGAAAATATCAAGAAATCGAAGTTTTATGTTACATTTCGTAACTAATTAAATCCAATAACGGGTTGATTAAATATTGTAAACAAAATGCAAATAAAGACACACTGTCAAGAAACTCTCGAGAAAAACCGACTTTCGGTCAGTAACTTGCGACTGCTCCATCATGTAGGTCTCGAACCCGCAACCAAGTGGTGGAGAGCTAGTGGTAGCAGAATGTCAGAAGCGATTAACACTTGGCCACCGCGGCCCCCTTTCGCATTTACAAGGAATATAATGAAACTAACTGTTTAAAGTGGTAATGATTGGGAAGATACCGATAATTTTCAGGTAGTCTTAAGTCGTAAAGATAGCTACTGTTTCGTATAGAAAATTAGTATTTGTTTTATAATGTCCCGTGTTTACTGAAGGTCTCGTTTTCGTTAATACTGACGCCTATTAGAAAACAGCGCTTTTTTGAAATTAAATCTTACCTTGAGAACAAAGAGTGGCGCATAACGCAAGGAGAACAATGAATCTTCGAAACATCTCAATACTAACTATAAAGAATTGGTAGACTAGTACTATACTATCTATCACCTTGAGATAAACTGACACAACACGGTTCAGAGATAAGACTAGGCTGTGAATACAAATTATCTCAAGATAGCGACCCCGAGGTGATAGGAATTTGCATTGGAAATACTTAGAAGACTAAAACATCATTTTCATAAATGAGCTGTATGAAGCAGTATAACTGGCACAATGTATCTGTTACTTAATTTGTACAATCACATTTAAATGAGTGTGCTACGTTCATCTTTACATTCAATACAAAACACTGGGTTGGTTTATTTTGTTAAACGTCCAATAATAGCTAAGGTCGAACAGGATCAACCTTGAATAAGTCACACATATATAATAAGTGTTTTCCTATGGACAGTGATCTACTCTTTCCATGTCATAAGTGATACTAAAACCGTGTCTCGAGTATTGCATATGAACGGTTCAGCAGCAAATTCTTCCCTTACTAGTACACACATACCCGTACACGTTCGCTGTTCCACTTTGAGCGTACCGTTTGCGTAGCATTTCCGTAGCACTTGCGTATCACTTCCGTAGTACTTCCGTACCATTACCGTAGCATTTCGGACCACTTGCGTAGCGTTTCCGTAGCACTTGCGTCTGCATCTTTCCATTTAAAAAGCGTTCGTGAAACGGTTGGTCGAAAATTTTACGGAATATATATTTGTCGAAAATATTGGAAAAGAAGAAAAAAACCACAAAAATGACGGTTTACACATACATGGACGTACCAGCCCTCCTCCCATAGGCCTACTGTGTGTTCCCCACACCAGCAGCTAGGCCTAAGGGGTAATTTAAATAACAGGCATATAGCTGGCCATGTGGTAATGACCTGTCCCTTGTTGAAGGTATAAACAACTATAGTGGCCGTTATAAAGGTTGTAAAGCAACATGACCACCCGCTGACAGATACATTTCTTTCAATATGATATCTATATACCTGAGAATATGTGATAATGCATTGACCATTCACCTGTGATCACATTGGATTCTGATGTGCTGTACCTGATCAAGGTCACATTCTGTGATTTCAAGGCAATAAGGTCCATGTCAATTAATCCAGTTCATTGTCTATCCATCACGTACAGCTGTATACAGGTAAAACAGTTGAAGGTAAAAACATACAGGTAAGATATTTTGGCTGTCCCTCGATCAGGAAATGACAGCCCCATTTCACAACATTGCCTTAATCAAGGTAAACTAATATTTTACTTTGAATTCCTAATTTAATAAAAAGTCCCTTATTAGGATATTTAACTTCTCACGTAGATGATTTGTTTTAAAACTAATCTATTTTTTGCCCCAAATAATCTATCGTGAGTTCTGTAATCAGCGAGCAAGGTTAACTACTAACCCTAATACGTAACAAAGTTTTCATATCAGATTATTGAAAATGATGATTTTTTTCAGTAATCATTAAAAAATCATTATGAAGATAACTTTATTGTCATCATGTGACTGAGTTCCTGAGAAAATAAAGTGTGCTTCCTTGTTGTCAATAGCAGATACGTATACATTACAATGTCTATAGTAAGTTTGTTAACGGAATGCTCTCTCTGCGTGTAGTAATTATAAAGGTGTCAAAAATCAGTCAAGCGGTTCCGGGCTAGTGTTTCTATGAACAAACATGGTTCAATGAAAAAGATAATTGGCCTTTTACAGCTGACCAATTAGTACCACTTAGCGCCTTTACCAAGTTTACACAGTGGACAGTATATATCAGAGGCTGGGATTAACCTGGCCTAGGTTATATTAGGGAATATTACATTACTGACAACAAGATGTATTAATTAATTAAAGAAAGGTTTATTGATTTTTTTAGAGAAGAATGTGCAGAAAAAAGTAGATTATCCACAAAAGATTTTTTTTACAGATATATTTACGATCATTTTAATCTACAAAAACTACCTGCGTAAACACATACAAAAAGAATATATGAAAGAAATAAAAAGAAATATATCCTCATAACTTAAAATAAGAAAAAGGGCGATATCAAAACATTGAATCGTCGAGTGTGTAATGTTTGTAATTTAGATGATGTTGAAGATCATGTCATTCTGATTTGCGAGCAATTGTTTTGAAAACGTATATTAACAAGAGGCCCATGGGCCTTAACGGTCACCTGATATATTTATACAAAGAGTTGATTTTGTTTTTAACATGAACAGAAATATTATTCAAAGTGACAAAAAACAATAAAACCACCTTACTCAATATCTAGCATCTCTGATTCTTAACAAGGAAAATGAAGAAATTTTAGCACACTGACTCCTTTGAGCCCCACCCTACAGCCCTTGGGGGTAGGGCTGGCTCAAAATTTTCAAAGTATCAAACTGTCAATTCAAGGTTATAATTCCAATCAAGTTATTAACATGTAATATTCAAAGTATCA